GTCAGATGAGCATAATTTTATACCTTATTCGTGACACTGGCAGGTTATGGATTGGCGTGGGGTCCAGTGGCGAAGCCCCCATAAGCTCAGGGGGTAAATGCATTTAATTATAGGATTTCCCGGCCAAATTCGTGAGTTTGTCATTCGAATTCATTTACTTTGCATTTAAGTTAGCGCAGATCAGCTTTGCCATGCCAATTATCATTCAATTTTCCCGATTTTGTATTTAATTTAGGATTTTGGTCGAAGGATTTCTTAGATCTGTCATTCAATTTAGAAACTGCTCAACTAGCATTTAAATGAATCGTCACTTGTCGAGGCGTCATTTTTATCATTCAAATTAATACCTGTCATTCGTATTCGAATTATGTTTATTCAAGTTAGGAATGTTAGGGGGAAGAAATGAAACACACGTTTACAGTTTTAAAAAAATGCAATTAAATACATGATTTGCCATTGGGGTCTTTTCTGTTATTCAATTTATTAATTTTGAGGACAAAGCATATGTGTGTAGTCAGACATTAAGTAAAGAAGGGGCGAAATCAAGGGATATGGCATTTCTGAACGGACATGTTCATATACCCCGAAAAATTGGGGATACAAAACACCTACCCCAGTCACAATATTGTACCCTTCTTCCATAATGAAATTGGGATAAATTTATGATGAAACACAAGACAAACAACTTCCTTACATGAAAATGTACACAAATATTGAGACCATCAAGTCCGTAGATGTAAGTCTTTTTTTTTTTAACAATCAAACTTAAAGGCTGATGAATATCTGATAAATCTTAAGGTATATAAAGAGTATAAATGCAAGGAAATGAAATAGGATGAAATACACATGAAAAAACGATCTTGAAAGAAAAAGAATGAGCTATAAAAAGTGTGTAGTAAACGAGAAATGTATATTGACCATTAATTTTAGTGCACAAAGTGCTAATTTGAATGCTACAAATGAATTAGAATGCTAGAAGTACACTGTCGCGATGTCATAAAATCGTGTTGCGCTAAATCGAATGACCAAATAGCGAAAGAAGCACTTTGTTCATTAATTTGAATGAAACATACACAGATTCTAACGAAAACTTCATAGATTTGAAATCTAGAAAAAGGAATATAAACCCGAGATATACCCGACAGCACTAAAACCGTCGAATTTGAACGCAAGACAAATTAATTTTAATGACAAACTCGCGAATTTGACCGGGAAATCCTATACTATCAGATGAGCATATTTTATACCTTATTTGTGACACTGGCAGGTCATGAATTGGCATTGGGTCCAGTGGCGAAGCCCCCATAAGCTCAGGGGGTAAATGCATTTAATTACTATCAGATGAACATATTTTATACCTTATTTGTGACACTGGCAGGACACAAATTGGTGTTGGGTCCAGGGGGCAGAGCCCTTCAGAAGCTCAGGGGTTTTATACATCAATTTATCGTCAGATGAGCATAATTTTATACCTTATTCGTGACACTGGCAGGTCATGGATTGGCGTGGGGTCCAGTGGCGAAGCCCCCATAAGCTCAGGGGGTAAATGCATTGAATTACTATCAGATGAGCATATTTTATACCTTATTTGTAACACTTGCAGGTCATGAATTGGCGTTGGGTCCAGGGGGTGGAGCTCCCAGAAGCTCAGGGATTTTGGGCAATAAATTACGGTCAGATGAGAATATTTGTATCCCCTATTTGTGACACTGGCAGGACACAAAATTGGTGTTGGGTCAAGGGGGCGGAGCCCTTAGAAGGTCAGGGGTTTATATATCAAATTATCGTCAGATGAGCATAATTTTATACCTTATTTGTGACACTGGCAGGACACGAATTGGCGTGGGGTCCAGGAGGCGGAGGCTCAGGGGTGTTAGGCAATTTATTACAGTCAGATGAGCATCCAGTGGCCCGCCTTAGGGCCATTGGTTGGGTTCGGGGGCAGAGCCCCGGAAGCTCAGGGCTTTACGCACATAATTACGTCAGATGAGCATAATTGTATACCTTATTTGTGATACTGGCAGGTCACTAATTGGCGTGGGGTGAAGGGGGCGGAGCCCCCTGAAGCTCAGGGGGTTTAGGCATTTTATAACGGTCAGTCAAGCATACAGGGGCCCGCCCTAGGGCCCCTTGTGGGGTCGAGGAGGTGGAGCCCCGGAAACTTAGGGGTTTTAGGCATTTAATTACGGTCAGATGAGCATAATTATACCTTATTTGTGATACTGGCAGGTCACTAATTGGCGTGGGGTGAAGGGGGCGGAGCCCCTTGAAGCTCAGGGGGTTTATGCATTTTATAACGATCAGACAAGCATGCAGGGGCCCGCCCTGTGGCCCCATGTGTAGTCGAGGAGTTGGAGCCCCGAAAACTTAGGGGTTTTAGGCATTTAATTACGGTCAGATGAACATATTTTGATACCTTATAACATAAGAGATAGCTAAACAATTGTCATGATTTAAAAATGTAATGAATACAGGCCCTGGACCTCACTTTCGAGATATAATATGCATTATAATGTGTGCAGTTTAAAACAGCCCTGTGCATTTCCGCGTGCTGTGCACAGCTAACTTAATTTCAACGAGATTGACCAAGTCAAATTACTTCTCAATGGTGATTTCAAAACCTTTAATATACACCGATTCCCTTCCACTACGCAATCAACCTTATTTCAATTGCCATAAGACAGTTTCTTCCACAATGTCAATATCATTAATTTTATACATGTATTTTAAAATGAAAATTCAGGTAACTTGAGAAAATGATAACTCTTTTTCACTCTCATCTTGTTGTCACTGTTAAATGCTTTGAGGAAATATAGTCTATTTACCTGACATAAGTAATTGGGTCTCTACATCTACAGGAGATCGGCAGATGAAGCTAGTAGTCAACAGCAAGGGAAGTTTCCTCATACCGTCAATCAGAACTGTTACAACGGACCACAAAATGATGAGGAAGGTTAAATGGAACTAAACGCTGTCCCTCACAAGCTACCAGAAGGATCTTCAGGTGATAGGGTGAAGTATTCAAAACGCCACGACTTGACGACAATGAAGATGCTTACGAAAATATGAAAATCTCAGAAGAAGGGGGAACATTTTAATGATAAATCTACCATTGCTCTTCTTCCTCACTTTATCTCTTCCCTCTTCATCTCCCTACTCTTACCCACTCTACCCATCTCTCTACCCCTCTGACTTTATCAAGTTATACCGAGTTTTCTCTGTCCTCTATTTTCTATCTTCTGAAAATAGATATAATTTCTGAAGAACAACGTAATTTTGTGATCATGTTCATCGTTCCTTATGTTTTTCATCGATGTGTAATTCATTCACTTGTATGTTTGTTTATTTAAACTCACAAGATCGAAGCAATATTGTTATTATTCAATTTCTTTATGTTAAATGGTTGTTTACTATTTTCTTTTTATTTTGTACGAAATTCCTCAATTTCGCCAGTTGGATCAAAATGAATATTTAAAAAACAATTACATGTACTACTACTGATACTATAGTACTACTACTGGAACTATAGTACTACTACTACTACTACTACTAGTAGTACTACTACTACTAATACTACTACTACTAATACTACTACTACTACTTCTACTACTACCAGGCGCGTATGCAGGGGGTGTTTTGGGGGTTAACCCCTTCAATTTGTTTAGTTTTCGCGCTGTAAATTTTTTTTTTATCTCACTACCAGCCCCCAGGACAAAGAAAGTGCATGTGAAGTTCAATCTATGCAGCTTGTATATTCCAATTAGATACACTTTTTTATTTTTATTATACATCACTCTATTGATATTTCAGCAATAAAGAAACCGAGAAGTCAAAAGAAAGTTACACAAAGAAAAGGAGAAAATAATAAGATGATCCAAGGACTTGACCTGAATAGTGGTCATAATTGTCCTATAACTCTTTATCTTTCCGTTGCAAAACCAATTAATGACTGGCTGATTATAACTTATCACTTAAATTTAAGTGCGTGATCGATACGGGTTATTTACTGGTCTGAATGAGCTTTAGATACTGTCGTTAAGCCAGCAATGGTATTTATTCGTAATAACAACACCTATTTGCCTCATATATACAAAAGCTTGAACTGCGCCTGTAGTATATTTGATTGACTTTGATGCATATATACAGTAGTTTACTTGCTGACTTGTTAGTTCCGATATGATTTACGAGCCTGAGAGGATGTCGCCAAAACTAGCACCTGTAGTACCTTCTATTCCAGAAACCAAGTATGGGAAATCAGGGTTATCGCTAATTTGATTTTAACAAACAGCTCAGTGTACTTGTGGAGAACGATCATAATGGCTCAACTCACGATGGATTCCTTGACGCGAACACTCTTGATCTTGATAATAATATTTTTGGGAGGTATCGTGCACAGTGTTAAAGTGGATATCCCACTCCGTTCACCACAGCCAATCTATAGATGCCCAGTCAAGCTTCATTTCTTCGCGGCTAAGTGCGCTCATCTCAATCTAACCTCAGTTCCCCAAGACCTACCGCATGGCCTGCTGGGCTTATCCATCCATCATAACCAATTAGCAGAACTTGGAAACAGGTCTTTCCTGAATTACAACCAACTTGAAACATTGAATGCTGGTAATAATATCATTGCTTTCATTGATAGTGGAACATTCAAACCTCTACCACAATTACAGGACTTGAAACTAGATCATAACCTGATTACTTTTCTACCTATCTATTATCTTCAGAAGAATGCTCATTTATGTATAATAAATTTATCACACAACAACATCAGTAACATATCCAACACTTTGGTCAGTACTCAGAAGTGTGAAAACTGTTATGGATGGCGGAATATGTCGGCAGTAGATCTATCCTTCAACAAATTTACAACTATAAATCAGGATGACTTTTTACCTTGGAGAAATTGCTCTGTCGATAAGTTTAATTTAAATGATAACAATGTGACGTTTATTCAATCTAAGGCGTTTGGACATTTACCCAAACTCGGTATTCTGAACATGAATAATATCAGCTTATCTACTTTCAACGTAGGGTATTTCATGGGCCATGTTGAAATCGACAGACTTCTGATCGCTTCTTCAGGCATAAAGTACATTCATCCAGCGAACATATCGTCGATACAAAAAGGAAATGTGCCACTGATTAAAGAACTTTATTTAAATTTTAACATCTTGAGTAACATTCCAGGGTATGCTCTACGTGGTTTTGAAAAACTGCAAGTCCTGAACCTTCAAGGGAATCGTATATCGAGCATCAATAATGAATCATTTTGTGGCTTACATTCACTGGTATACCTCAGTTTGTCTTGGAATAAAATAAGTTCACTTCCCCGCGCTTCGTTCGCTTGTGCTTCAAATCTCCTGAAAATTGATTTGTCACGTAATTACCTCGCGACATTGGATCCACAATGGTTTGACGGATCCTTGTTTCTTCGTAGCTTGTTTATAGATCAAAGTGGCATCCGTAGCATTATGGTCGGACCGTGGAAGGCAACTAATCTCCAGACTCTTGTTCTTACAAGAAACAATCTTGATTCCCTTTATCATGAAACCTTCACTGGGTTGTCAAATTTGAAAGCACTTAATCTTTCTCGCAATGCCAATCGTTTTCGGATGTCAGAGGACGCCCTCATTTCAGTAAGTTCCTTAGAATTCCTCGACATGTCGAATTTGAAACAATTTACCATGAAATGTTCGTTTAGAAATATGCAACATCTACTTAATCTGGACTTGTCAAATAACCAGTTGAAAATTTCATCACGTGACCAGTTTACGAACACATCTGCGCTGAAGGTTCTCGATATGTCGGCATCACATCTCAAAGCTGAAGATTTAGTTGATATACAAACAGGGACATCGTTGTTTTCAGGTTTGGTCTCCTTGCAGACCCTTATACTACGATACAACTCTTTAGATACTCTGCATGCTCTTTCTGGCATATTCACCCCGCTTGGAAGTCTTGTTGAGCTAGACTTAACAAGTTGTCGTATACGACAAGTTGCGTCAGGAACATTTGCAAACTTAACGACCTTGCTTCAGCTCTGTCTGCCTGAAAATAAAATAACCAGCATTTCCAAGGACGCTTTTCAAGGTTTGCACAATTTACGGGTGTTGCAGCTGCAATACAATTCAATTGCATTCATCGAGCAAGGGCTGTTTATGGGCACAAATGAACTTGAACAGTTGTACTTACAAAATAATCACATTTCGACCGTAGCCTCCAACACTTTCATGCCGTCAAGTTTGATTAGATTAAATATTGCAAACAATCCCTTAACATGCGATTGCCAACTCGTCTGGTTCAGACAATGGTTGAACGAGGTTGAAGAAAAAGTAAATCTTGCTCCAGAAAATCAAATCCGTTGCTCTAGCAGTTCCTTAAAAGTGTTAGTCAATCAAATAATTTGGTCGTTCCATCCGAATGAATATTGTGAGTTCAATGCCATGATAATCGTTTCCGCATGTTTTGCGCCGTTTTTAGTTTTAACCCTCGGTATACTCATGTATGTGAACCGTTGGTGGATAAACTATAAGTTGTATCTCCTCAAGTTGGCCATCGTTGGTTACCATGAGATCACTGAAGATCGAGATCCGGAGGACTATGAATTCCAACTCAACCTCATGTTCCACGAAGACGATGAATGGTGGGTAAATGACTGCATGAAACCTTTTCTGGAGCAGAGGATGCCTCATCTGGAGCGCGTCATATTTGGCGATGCCGATCTTCACCCAGGATTGTTCTACTTGAACGCCATCTACGACGTCATCGAAAACAGCCACAAGACAATATTGTTGCTTAGCAACCAGTCTGTGGACGATGCCTGGTACATGACCAAGCTCCGTATGGCAGTGGAGCACATGAATGACACCAAGTTGGAGAAGGTCATCTTGATTTTCCTTGAAGACATCGATAATGACCATCTACCGTACCTTGTTAGGCTCTTGCTGAGTCGAAACAAGCCTTATTTGTTGTGGACAGAGGATGAAGAAGGTCAAGAGATCTTCTGGGCAAAGGTCCAGAAGAGCATGAGATCAAACCGGCAAATGAACAATGTTATACCCGTTTAAGAAGAAGCTTGAGTTCTGGTCCTAAGATTACATTGTGAATTAAACTGTCCGGGAGCAAGCATGATTACAAAACGGTGATCATTATTCGAGGTAGCATACAGAAATTGTGCTGAAAGTCTCAGCACTGAATACCATGTACACAGAAATGTGCATGTGGGACTACAAAAATATATGGCATGGCCTGTTAAGTTGTTCAAGCATTTCAGCCATCTAATGTGATGTTACGAATGGGAGGGCATTTGAAGAGCAACTCTTCTCGGAGGATAATTCTACAAAGATATTCTTTCAAAAATGACTTTAAAAAACGGTGGAGCTTGTCATTATTTTCTCATCCTTGCCTAAACTCAACCTTCTCTTGCAAACGTATGGTGGTGTGACCATAGTTCGCGCGTGACCTTCATTCGCAAACAGTTCCATATCTCAAAACAATCGGTAAGATTTCGAAATTTTGATATCACAAATGGAAAGAGAAACATTTAATTAAACAGTGACGAAATTGGGTATGAAAGTATGAAAATATTTACAAAAGAATTATGGAGACTTTTGCCTTCGTTCTGAAAAAAGGAACTTACAGAAAAGGGTTACGAAATCTTTAATTTGAGAAACGATGTCATCAAAATTTTTAGTAAAAAGTGATACCAACTGATTGTATGATATACTGACTTGCTATTTACGCAATTACCTTACTTTTGATGGATCGCCTTTTGATAGATCACTTGCCTTAACTTTCGTGCGCAAATTAGGGTCTGTTTTGATGACCTTTTCTTTAGATCGCGAAATCGCCGGATTTTAGGGACGATAATTTGTCTAATTGCACCTATTTGTAGTTTAATATTTGAACGTTCGTTTTTACTAATTGATTTTTATAAACGTGTGTATAATATGAGAAATTGTGGATCGAATATAGTATTCGTTTGATGAAAATGTAAACGAACTTTGGACACTCCATCCTACCTTCCTTGCCATGTGCCGGTGATGAGGAAAGTTTGTGTAGGCCAAATGTTGATTACCATTGAAAAGTCTTCTTGAAGTTATGACTTCCAAAAATGTTTTATCCATTGATGAATTTCGAGTTTCATCTTTTGATTTCACAGTTTCCTGCATGAAATATGCGCTTGTAACTAAATTTAGTCCGTCTATCTTACTATCTTTTCTTATGTTGCTTTATCATTTTTGCATCGGTAACATTGCAAATATTTCTATCTCAGACTCAAACATTTTATATAATTTGGACAGTGAGACATGGAAGAGACTGGATTTCCAACGCCTGTGTAGATGTGGCTGGGTTCAGAAAGGGAGGGGAGGGGGTTTGTGGAGTTTGGACAGTTTTGGGTATGTAGAGGGAGGGTCACATTTTATGTTTATCTGTCCGTCTGTGCGCGCGCGTGTATGTGTGTTTGTGGGAGGCTCTTTTTTAAATAATATTCATTCATTGCACAACATGTTATTTTGTTATACATGAGTAATAACTTCCAACTGTATATGATTCTATTATATTTCTGTAATAATTAGGAACCAAGCGTATATAGGCTTTGTTATGCATTTGTAATAGTTTGATATGGAGATGTACAAATGAAAATGTGCGATTTTGTAATCATATATTTCATTCATGCTTAAGTAATGTAACTTCAATGTCATGTAGTATTATGATTAATTATGTATATATTATCATTCTGTTGTTATTTTTTGTGATTTAAATGACTATAAAATATCTTCTTTTGTTAATAAAAAAAAGCAACAATAAATAAACAAACAAAAGAAAATCAGAACAATTATTTATGTTCTTACTTTAATGCAATAACAATTTACGATTCGTCCCCTTCACCTCCTGAAGTAACGAAATATATTGTCTTTATCTAAAATACTTAAAAAGACGGAATGAATTAGATATATAAGTTGTAAGCATTGAAATTTCATTGATAGTTCAATTATCAAGATCAGTGTGAAATTTATAGCAATATATTTCGTATGGATAAATTACTATGATAATGGTAAATTTTAAGGAAAACACGATCTCAAAGAACTTAAACAAAAAATCCTAAGCCAATTTTGATAGCCACGTTTATCACCGATTTAAATTATTGTGCAAACATTATGCAGTGCCACAACACGTATTCCGATCATTTATTTGGGATATCAAAGGGAAATGAAGGTAATTAATCTGCTTCCTGAATACGTTCATTATAGGTCGATCAGCATTACCAGTTATGGAAAATGGTAATAACTTTAACCCATTTTAACAAGAACTCAGATTTTAATACAAATACGAAAGGAAGAAGTTACACTTTGATGGTATCGAAAACCCTAGTAGGTTTCCTCGTAATGTCAAAAACATATCTACATTAATTGTAATCCTTATCATATCGAGTTTACAAAGTTTAAAAATGAACCGCGGTACAAACGCTAAGCGTGACAAAACTCATAACAGCATCTAAAGGCCCGGTCCCACTGCACTTACGGATGCAAAGAGGATGTAAAACGTAAAAAAATCTTGCCATCCGTTGGAAAACCGGTGGAAAACGCTATGCATCCGTTGTGTACTCATTGCATACGTGTTTCATACGCTCTATCCATCGAGCATCCGTCCACTGTGATTTCATCCGCGCAAAAAGTTTTGAGCTGCACAAAACTTTTAGAACGGATGAACTTCCACCGTGTACGATGTAAATCCGCGACAAATACGAGCAACAAACGTTCTATGTCCGTTATCATCCGTTAAACGTCCGCTGTATCCTCTCTGCATCCTCTGGGCATCCTCGCAACTCACATCCGCTGCAGCTGAAAATGGAAAGAGGGAGGAAAGATAAGGTACATGGAACGTCTATACATCGTTAGTAGCACGGAAATAGAAAGGATGTAAGCGTATGCATCTCGTATGTAAAGTATTGAAAGCTGTCATCCACTTACATCCGCTTTCATCCGATAGGCTTCCGATGAACATCCGTTTAACATCCCCGCTACATACTACCCACGTCCGTTATTTTCCGTTCTGTTTTCGCAAATTTTTGGAAATTTTGTCCATTTCTGGAGCGGATGAAAACGGATGGAGCCACCCGCGAAATTTTGCTTGTCCGCTGTGTCCTTTATGCATACGTTTTGTGTCCATCGGGCAGTGGGACCGGGCCATAACATGATTGAACTTTATCATGGTTACTTTTTCATTGTGTCACTTATCAGAAGGTTTAGTTCATATTTCTGATAAATCACACGTAGTTTAATAAAAAAAAACATAGGATTATGCTGCAATTGTATAAGCTTGTCAGTAATTTAACGTAATTTAGTTTGTGCAAACAGAATATGTATGGTTTTAGGTACGATATTTTACAATTATAGTGAAGAATGTTGTTACCATAATATATTTATGCAACCAGTTCCACCTTGTTTCTCAATTATAATTCTTAATATCTGACCATTTAGAAAAGATAAACTCTCACACTAAAAACTAGATTTGAAATCCCTACACACATTGGACTGTACAATATAATACTAAAAAACTTCATCTCACTGATTCAAAGGTACAGTAATGAATAGTAAGATATGAATACTTATGAATATGGAAATCTTCACTTGCATATGTTCTCTATTTTGTCCGCCGCTTTAGATGTTGTATAATCACTGTAATTGAGTAATTAAACACCGAAAAGGTGGTGAAGCTAGACAAATTTCTTTCATTTCTTTTGTTGCTGTTGGATTAAATGTGTTATTTATCCTTAAAATCACGTAAATGCCCTGGACCATATATGTATCTCAATGAATGGGCCTTAATTGAAATGTTTAGAGCTTCTGTTCTATAAAGCTTGTGTTCATATTATTGCCATGGATGTATGATTGCTTAATCCTACACAACATTCCAAAGGTCAAGACTCTACAACACCCTCGGAATATTTCAATATATTACAAACAGAAATGAGATCAAACCACAGTGCATTCTAATTTACATCTATATTAAATACTCACCTACTTTTATCCAATAAAACCAAAGATTTCTATGTACTGTACAAGTTCTTCAATAGTATACTATTATGTCAAGAGTTTTGATTATAATTATACGAAACGCTAGCGTCATATATAACAATAGAAAGGGATCTCAGACTGTTTTAAGCACAGTTAATTTATGATATAATGGGCTATATACATGTACGTAACATTTATTTGCACATGCCCCGATATACTTAATATCTAATATCCCTTGGTTTTAGTGTACTCCAGCACCCTTTTCACCACTTCCAGACGGTATTAGACTGTACCGCATTGTGAAATAGTCACAATTCTAACTGTACTAGATTATAAACCCTAAACCAGCTTATGAATTGCTCCTAGTAATTAACCGTGTACTCTCATAACCTCACATGGGAATGATATGGCATCAAGGTAGATATAAATGGAAACATCGCCACTTCATCAGACATTGAGTTTTGTCAGATGCATGTAGCTAACATTTGTAGTCTTGGTGGTCACCTATCTACCTGTCCAAATTGGCCACCCTTATTATTGACTCCTTGCCCAGAGCTTTTAGCGCCTGTGATGTTATGAGAGTACACGGTTTATTAATGTCAGCTATTTATAAGGTGGCTTAGTAATTATAATCGTGGTAAAGTTATTTTCTTCATAATACGTAAGGAATGACTCCATCCGGTCTTTAGGTGGTGGTGGGGGCTGGGGTAGGTGCAGCATCGGCGTTGATGAGACCAATGAGAACATTTTTGTAGTCTCCACTGGTATCGTCTTCGACCATGGCGGCCAGGGTGGTGGTGTATTTCTCCTTGAACATGGTCTTGATGGAAGCCAGGTCGATCTAGGCCAGAGAGAGAGAGAACGCCAAAGATATATTCAAAAGGAAAACAAAATATATTCAAGGGAAGAAAATTTTCTATATCATAGGCGAGGTGGTCACTGATCAAGCTTTTTATTGACCCGATTATCACCGAATTCTCTCACCACTATAGGCTTAATAAATGGACCACTCGGTTCCAGTAGGCAGTGGGTTGAAATAAGGTGAA